TTTTTTGAGACAGAGTCTCACTCTGTCGCCCAGGCTGGAATGCAGTGACGTGATCTCGGCTCACTGTAACCTCTGCCTCCCAGATTCAAGCGATTCTCCCCCCACGTCAGCCTCCTGAGTGGCTAGGATTACAGGCGTGTGCCACCATGCCCAGCTAATTTTTGTCTTTTTAGTAGAGACGGGGTTTCACCATGTTGGCCAGGATAGTCTCAAACTCCTCACCTCAGGTAAGCCATTTCTTCAATCATAATATACCTTAATTCTACGAGTAAAAGTAAAAAAATACATATTCGTTTGATTCAGAAGTCAGGTGATGCAAAGAAAAATGTAGAGTCTAGTCACCTGCACGACTGGAGTGTAACTAGAGCAAACACACTCATTGAGACGGAACATGTAATAGGAAGATTCTCAAGAACATTGCTTAATATTTTAAATCCACATCTTGAAATGCAATTGCCTCCCACATACACCCACACAGGTCATTACAATTTTATCTTCTATAAAATTGATGAAAATTAGTAATTATAAAAGTATAATTTTTAAAAATAAAAATATGGACCTAATTATTGCTTCATATATTTTGTTCACAAACTATCATTTAAATAATTACTATTAAAATATGCCTATTATTCACATAAAAGGGCTCATTTGACCAGTCCATTAAAAACCCAAAACTGGCCAGGCACGGTGGCTTCCCTCAGGTCAGGAGTTTGAGACCAGCCTGACCAACACGATGAAACCCTGTCTCTATTAAAAATATAAAAATTAGCCGGGTGTGGTGGCGTGTGCTTGTAGTCTTAGCTGCTCAGGAGGCTGAAGCAGGAGAACTGCTTGAACCTGGAAAGCAGGGGTTGCAGTGAGTGGAGATTATGTCACTGCACTCCAGCTTGGGCAACTCACCCTTCAGAGTGAGACTCCACCTCAAAAACAAATAAGCTTAAAAAAATAAATAAATAACCCAAACTTGCTTACCTAAAAGTAATTGAGCATATATTACCTTCTACCCATTGATTTACTCAGCATATAAAATTTAATTCCTTTACATTTAATAAAGTTTCTTAAGATTAAATGCCTGTATTTAATGTACAACATTAAAACCAAATTCTTCCAATCCTTTAAGTGGCAAATGATCCATCCAGTAAATATTAGAAATAACTATCTGATTTTCTTGTTTTTGTGCTTTAATTCCTTTCATATTTAATAAAGTCTCTTAATCTTAAGAATAAATGCCTGTATTTAATTTACAATATTAAAACCAAATTCTTCCAGTCCTTTAAGTTGCAAATGGTCCATCTAGTAATGCTGGAAATAACTATCTGATTTGCTCGTTTTGTGTTTTCTTTTATAAGGTCAGCTCTATTGCTCTGTTTGTTTTGTTAGTCTGATTGTTGTTTTTTGTTTTTTTTTTTTTCTTTTTACAGGGATGGTTTTTCATCTCAAGAGCTGCTTCTAGTTTTGGCGATGAGAACTACTAATAGAAAAATTTAACCATAATCCTCATAGTAATCCAGGCTGGTACATTTAAGATGCTTTTTAATTATTATAACTTTAAAATAGTATCATTTAATCCTACACTCCACCTAGCAATATTAGAACTAATTTGCTTGTTTTTGTACAACATTGCAGGTAAACACTGACTAGAAGACCAATTTCAAAACACTGCAAAAATCTCTTATTTCGGCTGGGCACGGTGGCTCACGCCTGTAATCCCAGCACTTTGGGAGGCCACGGCGGGTGATCACGAGGTCAGGAGTTCAAGACTAGCCTGGCCAAGATGGTGAAACTCTGTCTCTACTAAAAATACAAAAATTAGCCGAGTGTGGTGGCAGGCGCCTGTAATCCCAGCTACTTTGGAGGCTGAGGCAGGAGAATTGCTTGAACCCGGGTAGCAGAGGTTGCAGTAAGCCAAGATTGCACCACTGCACTCCAGCCTCCAGCCTCCAGCCTGGGTAAAAAGTAAGACTCTGTCCCCCCCCCCCCAAAAAAAAAACCTCTTATTTCCCAGAGGTCTCAGAGGAAAGGTATTAGGTTTCCTCAGTCCTCCATTAAATCATGGGTTTAGGGGAACAAAGTTTAGATCTCAGGAGGCTGCAAACTTCAAAGAAACTGGAAGCTCAATGAATTAGTTTTCAATACCATATAATCAAATTTTTATTAGATTGGCTATAATAACTCACAAAGAAAAAGTATAGCACTTTACAGTTTGCCTCTGCTATAATGATTGAGAGCTTTCATTCTGCATTTAAACCAAGAACATTACAAGTAAAAAGTCAAAGTCACCAAAATAAAATAAGCAGCAAGTTTGAAAGCATAGCCAACAACATATTTTGGAATTCATGGAAAACTGTATTATGAATATCATTTGTGACATTCACTTATACATTTATTCACTAAGTATTTACTTAACTTTATGCCTGGTATATAGCTTACATGCTGGAAATACAAAAATAAGACAGAAATTGCACTCACAATGCCAAAAGACTTAGTGGGGATATTCAAAAATATAGACATGATCAGTTTCCCAATCATGCCATACACTTCACTTAAACTTGAATAGGGAAAAGAAAGCCAGAGATTACTATGAAAATATCTAAGTGAATCTTCAACTGCCTTTATCATTCTCACCATAATTTACTATATAATAATCACAAACTTTTTTTTAATCTTTCAGATGTCCTACAGATTCTAAGGCAAGTCATAGATGCTACTTCCCCCAAAAAAGCACAGGAAAGATGTTGAAGAAAAAGACACCCCTTAGGACACAGGCATAGGGCAATTAAGCTACTCAATTTTCCTTTGCACCCAAAAAATGCTAAAATCTTTGTGGATTATGTAAAAGTCAATTACTTACTCGAGAGGGAGAGAGGAAAAGAAGGAGTGGATAAGTTGTGTCATGGTGTTAACTGCTAGGGGCTCCAAAAGACAAGTATATGCATGTTTGCAATACTGTTCTTTCCCTTTTTAGGTAGTTTTGACTTTCCCAAATGAACAGGGGATACAAAGCAACTTTTCAAAATGAGGAGCTTATACTATGAAATCAAATAGGCATACCTATGTTGATCTCCTAAGTTTTGTGAGATCATTTATTTATCAAGTTGAAGAGAGTAATATTTTAGGCAGAAAATTATTCATGTATTTTTATTAATTTTATAAACACATTTTGAATCAATGTGCTATTTACTTGCCAAGAAAGGGTTAAATTATTTACAAAAGGATGCCTAATATATGAATGGATATAGTGATTTCTGAAAATATTAAGCTCTAAATTAAAATTTCTAAATCAACAGCAGCACAGCAAACCTCACTTCCAAGAAACTATAAAGAGTAATCCCCATCATAAAAGAGTATGCTACTAACAATAGCCTTGGAGAAATGACTGATAAGAAACCTGAGATCCTAAGACAAATAATGAAAAATAAATGCTAAGCGTTCAATGAAATTGCTATGTAAGCACTATGAAAAATAGAAAAACATTAAGAAAAAAATTAAAGTCCACAAAATACACATCTCCTGCAAAACTATTAAGTTGCATTTGACTTCTTTATTATACCATTCTTTCCTACAAAATGAGCTGAAAAAGACTGTCTTTTGAAAAAGATGGCCATAATAGTATCTCCCATTCCACGTGCTCCTCTAAGAATCTTGCCCACGCTGTCATGGAGAAGTGGAGACTCAGTCCCTTCCCCTTGAATTTGAACAGAAGCTGTGTTGACTGGAGGGAAACCTGTGTAACTTCTGAGATTAGGTCATAAAAAGTATTCTAAATTACAAGAAGAGTGAATTCCATATAAGGAACACAGTAATTTCAAACTCAAGGAAAAAGAATATATTTCACACTTGAAAATTATCAAAGTAATTCACTACTTTTATGGACTAGCAAAGGAAAGCAAGCACATACTGAGGTAATACATTAAGTTTCAATGAAATTATAACTGCTTCTAAATATAGTTCGCTTAAATCTTTAGATGACATTTAGAATTATATAGCCAAATTTTAGTAATTTCTGCCCAGAAAATAGAATCATGACTGTAATTTTTAAAAAATATACTGTAAAAACAAAAAGAAAATCTTTTGTGAATGTATAAAATAGTAAAAACCCTTTCTATAACAGGATAATCATAATCAAAATATAAATAAGAAGGGTTTCCAAATGATTTCAATCTTTTTTCCCATTCAAAAGAGTAAAAATTAGATGGTTACTGTAATTACTCCATGATGCTTTTGGTATCTGTGTATCTGTCAGTTTAATAAAACTCTGGTAACTGCAATTTTCATCAAAAGTGTATTTTGGACAGGCTCTCACCTGGTCTCTTCATCATCCCAAGCGATGCGCATGCCTTTCCCACCACCACCTGCTGAGGCCTTGATCATGACAGGGTAGCCTAACAGCAGGGAAGAATTAGACAGAAGTTCAGACTTTGATCATTGGGATGTATGAACATGACAACTGACCACATGTTCAATAACGCAGAAGACAATAATTAATTTATTTAAAAGTTCCTTCCTTTAGAGTCAGGAAAATAACACCAGTGTAATGATATATTTAAAAAATGAGAGTGTGACCGCTTTAAAAGAAAAAAGGGTACTTACACCAATAAACATAACATTTGCCCCACTAATAAATGCTTAAAAAACAGACATAAATTGACAGTGGATTCCAAAAAGAGAAGTACAGTATTAAGTAACCAAAGATATAAGAAGCAACTTATATAGCACCAAGAAACATCTCCAAAGCTGAGGTCTGCAAGCATAACAAACTAAATTCCCTTTTTTCAAAAACAGTGATTTTCAGGTACTTAAGGTAGTTTCATCTGAGGAGTCACGGAGAACCCCTACAGCTTTTATCAGCAAGAACTGACATGATGGTGCTGGGGGAAAAATCCAAACATGGCTATGATTCTAAGGACTGGAGAAGAAGCTCCAGCGCTCACTGGTATCAATGGAGAAGCTATTTCACTGTTCCATACATTCAACAGGGTGTTATGAAAATACAAAGTAAGGTCAAAACAAAGAGCACTTCCAGCTAAAGTTTTATAAGAAAAAATAAACTCATAAAATTGTCATTAGTTACATGATTAAGTATTTAGTTATTATACAGTAAAATTTCTGACAGCAAGAGTCCTTTATGACCATTTATCAAGAAAAGTATAAAAGTCCCCTTCTTTAGATGTTTTCTAAAAACAAGGTAGAAATATTCCTATGTCTGGGACCATTTATTTGTGATCTTTTCTGAAGAAAAAAGAGGTCAGTGAGCCCTTACAAGACCCTTCCCAGCCTGTGATGCTCTAATGGCACTCAGCTCAAGCTACAGGATCCTTAGAGGAAAAGGGAAAAGAAGGCCAAATGTCACAGACCTTTTGACCCCCAAACCACAAAGCATCACTCTTTACTTCAACTTAGTTAAAACAGCACCTGCTTCCTAAGTGTTTTCAATTTAAAATTTTTTATGTTCATTTATATGGGCTTGTATTTTTGAAACAATGCTCAGTGCACTGAGAAGAAAGATAAAGAACATGCTCTTACATTGAGAGCCTTCAAATCCAGGAAGAGAGAGGCCAAGGACCCAAATAGTATCATCACTGGCAATTGAACAAAGAAAGGATCATATGGAGGTAGAGAGAAAAAGAATTAAGAAAAATGTATTATAGAAAGGGCCATTTAGGCCAGGTGCCGTGGCTCACGCCTGTAATCCCAAAACTTTGGGAGGGTGAGGCGAGTGGATAACGAGGTCAGGAGATAGAGACCTGGACAACATGGCGAAACCCCATCTCTACTAAAAAATACAAAAATTAGCTGGGTGTGGTGGCACACACCTGTAATCCCAGCTACTCAGGAGGCTGAAGCAGGAGAATCGCTTGAACCTGGGAGGCACAGATTGCAGTGAGTCAAGATTGCACCACTGCACTCCAGCGTGGCAACAGAGCAAGACTCCATCTCAAAAAAAGCAGTGGGAGGGGGAGCATTTAAATGATGCTATGAAGAATGAGCAGGACTTGAACATTTCAGGCAGGAATAGTGGAGAAAACAGAGGTGGGGTTTATAGGACAAGTTTAAGGAATGACTAAAACAATTCAGTTGAAGTACAGAGAGTCATCTGTAGGATGGTAGGGGAAACGACAATAGAAAACACAGATGCAGCAAAGTATGGAAGATTGTGCACGCTTTGAGTCTTGATTCTACACGAGACTACGCATAATTTTTAATCCTGCGTGAGAGTGCCAAGAATGGCATTTGTCTCATTCACAATAACAAGCATAAAATAATCGGAATGAAATCAATAGAGAAGAATTAGCTATTTTAGGGGAGTGAAGAAACCCAATTAAAAATTTGATACTGGTATACCTGCAAAATCCTGTTTACAACAACTTAATAGATCCTTACCCTCATCCCCTCAAAAAAAGTATTTTATCAATGCATCGTCACAAACGATCCATATGACAGGAAACCACAAGAGCTGTGAGACAGCCAACATCACTACATCCAGTTCCCTCTGAGGATTAAGAAATTTGCAGTTTTTCTGGCTCTAGTACTAATCTCATTTTAGTCATTTACTATGGACCCTAGATTGTGAATTTCAAAATCAGACATGGAAATCGTACTTGCTCACAAGGAACAAGCTGGGGACACAAGATGCATACAAAAATTTGTCAACAAAAAAAATCATTTGATGTTCAGAAAAGGTGAGAAGTCATTAGAGAATAGGGCAATATATGATAAGGCATTGTGGTCTCCCAGTGCTGCTGGCATCATAGCATTAGACCTGTGAATACATGTAACCCAAGAAGGCAAGATTCCCTGACCAAAATCTCACAAACCAAATGGAAAAAGGTTGGGAGGGAGGAAGAAACTGATGCAAGTTAGTGAGACTAGCATTTTTTTTTTTTTTTTTTTTTTTTTTTTTTCGGACCTTGCTCTGTCGCCCAGGCTAGAGTGCAGAGGTGCAATCTTGGTTCATTGCAGTCTTGAACTCTTGGGCTCAAGCAATCCTCCCACCTCAGCCTCCTCCATAACTGGGACAACAGCTGCACCCCAACACAGTCAGCTAATTTTCTTTTTTTTTTTTTTTTTTTTTAAATGGAGTCTCAGTATGTTTCCCACAGTGGTCTGGAACTCCTGGTCTTAAGTGATCCTCTTGCCTTGGACTTCCAAAGTGCTGGGATTGTAGGCATAAGCCACTGAACCTGGTTGATACTAACTCTTAATCTAGTCCTTGAGCTATATTCTGAAATAATCTAACAGTAAGGTTTTGTACTTAACTTCTTACACCAAATAGGTCATTAGATTTCAGGCAGTACATATGCTGTCACCACACCATGGAGAAATAATACTTAAGACATCTGAAGAGGAAGGAAAAGAATAATCCACACAGACAATGTTAAATATCAAACAGTCCCTCGTCCCTACTTTCTTGTGTCCTTGCCACTCTAATTAAGATAAGTAAACTAGAAGTGGAAGGAAAAACAGATTTAGTCAAAGGTTGGCATTCCTGGAAAAATCAGAAATGATCAAGTTGATGGTGCATGTTACCCCTCACTTACCTCGTCTGGACATGAAATTTCCACTAATGTTCTCTCACATTTTCTCATCCGCTGGAGCACTTACTTCTGTGCTTGGCTCTTGTCTATAATGTATTTGTTTAATTGTATGTTCTTCAGCTGACATATGTTTGAAACAGAATGATACGGTTTGGCTCTGTGTCCCCACCCAAATCTCATCTTGAATTGTAATAATCCCCATGAGCTGTAGAAGGGACCGGTGGGAGGTAAGTGAATCATGGGGATGAGTTCCCCATTCTGTTCTCATGACAGTAAGTTCTCACAAGATCTGATAGTTTTGTAAGTGTCTGGTATTTTCCCTGCTGGCACACATTCTCTTCTTGTCTGGAGCCATGTTAAGATGTGATTTTGCTCCTAATTCACCTTCCACCATGACTGTGAGGCCTCCCCAGCCATGTGAAACTGAGAGAGCATAAAACCTCTTTTTCTTTATAAACTACCCAGTCTCAGGTATGTATTTATTAGTGGTGTGAGAATGGACTAATACAAAGAACATAACAAAACACAAATTCTGCAAGGCTCTTAAAAGGAGATAAATGTCCTAGTAGGAAGAGATTGCTTTAAAAAAAAAAAAAATCAGGCCCTAGTGTTCTTCCCAAGTTTTTCCTCACCTTCCTGGTCCTCTCACTGGATGCCTACTGCTACCACCTTCCCTCACCCCAAACACAGTGGTGACTCCCCTACTGACATTCCACCTCCAACACAGTCTCCATTCCTTATTCCCTTCTGCACATTAAAAGAGGCACCAATGCTTCCGAAAAGAAATCTACTAAGTACTATATGAAAAAATACATGAAGAAAATACAGAAACCTAAGTTACCAAAGTACTGCGGAGTTTCCATTCCTGCCTTTCTACTCAGTTTTCAAGGGCAGGTTTAAGTGCAGGACAAGAATCTTCTCTGGGCCTCTCACCTCCCAGCTACCAGTGAGTCTTACTTTCTACCACAAAGCAAGCAGTCTTCTTTCTAACTCTACCATCAAATTCATATTCATCAGCTTAAAAATGTTTACTGAATATACACTATGAGCCTTACCCGGCTCTGTGGGCTATGAAGACCAAAAATTCAGAAAACTCCCTGCTATCTAGCAGACAATGATATACAAACATACATGCATCTAAATACCACGTGTGAGTCGGGTAGAGTAGCTCACACCTGTAATCCCAGCTACTTGGGAGGCTGAGCTGGGAGGACTGCTTGGGCCCAGGAGGTCAAGGCTGTAGTATTTATATATGTATGTATACATATATAAATAAATAAGTACATGCATGTCTCACATAGGATGTAAGATAGCGATGGCTGCGATAAAACAACATGGAGGGAATAAATGTAACTGAGAGTGATGGTTACTGTTGCTTGAAAATGCTTCTTCAAGAAAACTGGTATTTAAACTGAACCTAATGACATGACAGAGAGAGCACTCTGAAAAGCAATGAGGAGGGATGAGCCTGGACAGAAGGAACAAGTTGGAAAGTGTGATACAGGAAAGGGAAGTACCTAATACAGCATCTTAAAAGATCACTTTGGCTGCTGTGCAATGAATGAGTTGTGAAAGGGCAAAGGTAGAAACAAGGAGCTGGTGAGGAAGCCTTTGCAGCAGTCCAGCTAGCAACAGAGATAGTGAGAAAGACAAAGACTAGAGTCAGCGACAGTTTGGATGTGGAAGATAAGGGGATGAATGAAGGAAGATTCTAGGAGCTTAGGAGATTTTCCATTTAGTTATGGATTCCAAGTTAAAAAGAACTATCTTTTTTGACCAACTGATAATGCCATGTTTACCTACTCAAGACACAGTACATAACATCACTTTTCAAGCAAAGCCCATCC